CTCTCTCTCTCTCTCTCTCTCTCTCTCTCTCTCTCTCTCTCTCTCTCTCTCCATCAAACTCCGCTACCCCCGGCTCCTCCCGCTGCACCTTTCCCACAGTGCTTCTGTTTCACACCGACCCGACCGTCTCGCGCCGCTTGGCCTGCGCACCCCGCCCGCGTCAGCCTGCTTCAGCTGCTCGGTCGTGTGTACGTCCGCCGGCCCGTTCCCCCTGCCCCGACTCCTCCTGCGTCAGCCTGCTGCAGCTGCTCGGCGGTGTGTACCTCCGTCGGCCCGTTCCCACCGGGCGACTCAAAAAAAAAAGATTTTGGCCCCCCCGCGGCCTGTCAGCTCGTTCCCACCGGGTGACTAAAAAAAAAACGAAACGCTGAACCTTCCCCGGCTTCCCGACCTTGCGCAGCGGATTCGGGTCCGCCAAAAACCGTGGCCCCTTTTCGCCGCGGCCACTTCCCAGCACCGGCGCGCCGTCGGTTCCCCCTTGCCCACTAAACCGACTCGCGTGTCGCCCCTTTTCGCCGCGGCCACTTCCCAGCACCGGCGCGCCGTTGGTTCCCCCTTGCCCACTGCCCGACAGCGGTCCCGCGCGGCGGCGGCCGGTTTCTGTTGGGCCCCACGTGAGGACCGCTATTTCCTTTAGTAGTATAGAGATAGAGAAGAGAAGAGAAGGCAGTAAAAACTGTCCAGGAAGACACATAATAGTAGTGATAAAAACATACACTCCTATCTATTCTGCAGGAGACTCCATTCTATCGGTGGCGAGCTTCTCCTGCCGGAGAGCGGGTCCGGCGTCCCCTGAGATACATCATCGAGTTAGCTGATAAAAAAATGCTGGAAACCAGGCTCGGCGTCCTTCAATGGACCTTCCTTAAACAAAAATGATGTCACTCAAGATGGTTATGAATAGATCGCTTCAACTTTCTTTGATGTAACATATCTATATCGTCTTTGAGAACTTGCTCAGAGAAAGACACAGAGAAGGAAAGAGAGAAACATTACTGTAGCACGGTATAGGTACACACACACACACACACACACACACACACACACACACAGAGAGAGAGAGAGAGAGAGAGAGAGAGAGAGAGAGAGAGAGAGAGAGAGAGAG